ATATATATATATATATATTATTAAATTATTGATTATAATAGTTGCTCCAATTCCAAATCGGCTCCACACCGACAAAAACAGATAAACTTATATGAGCTTACTCTCAATAATATGAAAGCATCAATTTGATTTGAAATGTATTTTTAATGTCTGTAGATTTTGTTTGAGTCACCGGATAATTTAATAATCTTCTAGAATAAAATCTACAAATACAATTCTAGATAAATTTGATCTAAATGTAATTTTAAAAGAAGAATTTGCAATAAAGTGATGTATGCTTTAAAATATATTGTCTACAAAGCAAAATTTTAGCTGAATAAAGATTATTTTAATAAAAGTGATTGAAATTATTTTTGGTCTATAATTATATATTAAAAATAATGTTTTATATTACATATTATTAGATTATTTCACATCACATTGTTAGAGAAAAAGAATTCGATTTTTGATTAGCTAGTGTAGAAAAGTTTTACCCTCATCCAATAATGTTACGAAAATATCATCTCTAGTTTAAAAACAAAATGATGTGATAATAAATAATTAGGTAGGTTTGGTTTGGAAATGAATTATTATTCTTCGCGGTTCAATGTTTTCAGGCGATGGGATTCGTTCCAGAGTGCAGCTGCGTGGGGGTTCTGGTCCCATACAATACAAGCATTATATTGAAATCGAATTCTTTAAACAAAATCTGAAAAAGGAGAATATGCTAAAAATTTAACAGATTAGTCTTATAATAAAATCAATAAATATTCTTTATAAAAACATATATAAAAAACAATTCCTATATATGTACTTATATTTACTCCTAAACTATGGTCTTAATCATTGTGGTTTTGGGATGGGGCAGGTAGGCTAAATTGTTTCCTCACACGCCATTCAAGGAATCAAAACCAAACGGAGAAGAGAAAGAAAAGAAATGTATTGTATGGGATTTGATTTCCATGCAAAACACACAAACCACGAAATACAAAAATCCAAACAACACCAACTAAAGCCAGCTTAGACTGCCAAACGCGTTTCGCCGATTAATTGTCGCTTTTGTCTCGTTACCCATTTTCCGTGTGTTGAGCCAGCCATGTTTACGCTCTATCACATGCACGCAACTCACATTTATATATATACTATATTTCTTTTTCATTACAAGCTATATTGGAAAACATTAAATATACTTTTTAACATGCTTCTATTATACTCCCTATTATTTTCTCAAGATTTATTACAGATTAATTATACAAATTTATAATTTCTTATAAATTTTAACAATTATAAAGAGTGTTGTTGTTATTATTTTTGTGAGAGAAAAGAATCAATCTCTTCCAACTTCTGACAAAAAAAAAAATGTTGTTGGGTAGTTTTGTCTGAATGTATTTTGAGGAAAAACTAGACTAACTATTAATTAATTATTGTAATAATGTTATTGAATCAAACAAAGCTTGTGATTGTAACATCACATATTTGAGTGGAATAAGGTGTATAATTATTAATATTTGAGTAAATATAGGACTTAAAGTAGTTACTGCGTCTGCATGCATGGGACCACAAGCATACACATCACATCACAGCATAGACCTAAGACCCCTCCGAAATCCTAGGACGTTCAAACGGATCTCCCCTGTTTGGGCCCCACAAAACCCGGTTTTAGAATGCTAAATTTTTGCATTACCATTTGACTCTGACTGTGGTGTCCCTCTCTCTTCTCCTCTCCAGAGAGAGGGGTCCCACCAACTACACCATTTCACCAACCAACATACTTCTCTTATTTCCTCTGCCTCCGTGTGGACCCATTTTTCACTTCATTCTCAATTATCTTTCTTAATTAACGCTGATATCATCATAATCATTCTTTCTCATCCTTTTTCTTTTTCTTCTCATTAAGTCATGCTTTGGTTCTGCTTGTGCCATCCTCAAACGCCTTATATAATTGCCCTTGCCTCTGCTTAATCTTCTTCATCCCGTTTCCCTCGTTCCACATTGGTGCATTCCTGAGTCTTCTCAAAAGTGAGCACCCTTTCTACTTAACTCTTCTTTAATCATGCTTTTCATATAAAAAAAACATTTTGTTTATATCCCATTTTTATTATTCCATTATATGCTTTGTTTTTTTGTTCTGCCACCGTCAAGTACTAGCTGATCATTGAGCATGTCATGTTCATTTGTGTGAGCTTTGACTGGCCCCTGATTGCTTTCCTAGATTACCATAAAAACAAGAAACAATATGGATTCCAAAGATTTCCTATATTTTAAAATGTGGTTTTTGATGAAAACACACGCGGAAACTCTACAGATGCATTTTCATCACATGTATCCAACTATTGGCTGTCATTTCCTTATGAGTCAATCTTGTCCTTTCTTTTTGTCTTTGACTCCACTATCCATCTCTCTTCCCTCCTTTCTTCTTATTTAATTGCATGCTAATAGACTTCATTACCCAAAAGTTCCTCACACTTTCTGAGTATCTTCAAATGCAATCACTTTTCTGAAAGTTGTTGATTCACATATCTAATCTGTGCTGCGCATAATTTCCTCCTTCAGCTGTGGGAAACATGGGGGCACCATTTAAAGGAATAATTGAAGATGTCAAGGGAAGAGCTCAATGCTATAAACAAGATTGGATTTGTGCAATCTGTTCTGGAGTTAGGTAATTTCTGTCTATCTTGGCCAACACATTGCATACTTTCTTTTTGTTTCCTCTAAATGTTGTGTATTTAATATTTATCAGTAAAATTCTGATTCATGCTTCTTTGGCAGCATATTGGCTCCAACTTTCTACATATTCTTTGCTTCTGCTCTTCCAGTCATTGCTTTTGGAGAGCAGCTTAACAGGGATACAGGTAAAAAACAATCTCTTTTATCAACACCCTCAAATCTTTCATGTTTGATGTTCTATAAGTGAGCTTCCATATGTTTTTTTTTCCCCCAACAGATGGAAGCTTGAGCACAGTGGAAACATTGGCATCTACTGCCATTTGTGGAGTTATTCACTCAATATTGGGTGGCCAACCATTGTTGATTTTAGGAGTTGCTGAACCCACTGTGATTATGTACACTTATTTGTACAGCTTTTGCAAAAATAGGCCAGAAGTGGGGGAGAAGCTCTTTCTAGCTTGGGCTGGCTGGTACGGCATTTTTCAATATAATTCTGTTTCTGCTTTTCCCATTTCTTGAATCGTCGTACATTACATGTTTGTCTAACTAAAATGTTCACTGTGTTGCAGGGTTTGTGTTTGGACTGCATTCATATTGATTCTGCTTGCAATTTTCAATGCTTGCACAATAATCACAAGGTTTACAAGACTAGCAGGGGAGTTATTTGGCATGCTCATCACTGTTCTTTTCTTTCAAGAGGCTATTAAGGTGTTGCTTCCTCTTCCTAGCAAAATACATTCTAAATTTGGCACTGCAGAACCCAACATGACAGTTATTTTTAAACCTTGAACCACAGGGATTGATAGGCGAGTTCAACACGCCCAAGAATGAAGATCCTTCCTCAGTGGAATTTCAATTCCAGTGGCGGTATACTAATGGATTGCTTGCAATCATTTTCTGTTTTGGGCTACTTGTCACAGCCCTAAAAAGCAGAAGAGCAAGAACGTGGCGATATGGAACAGGTAAATGACGCCAAATGTCTTGCAAAATAGAGCTTGTATACAATGATGCTTGTGTTGTGTTGTTAGCTTGATTTATCTTGTCACTTGTTTGATTCTTATTTGGCATCCAATGCAGGGTGGCTACGAGGATTTGTAGCAGATTATGGCGTTCCAATGATGGTAGTGTTATGGACTGCATTATCTTATGGTGTACCGGGCAAAATTCCACACAATGTTCCTAGAAGGCTCGTTTGTCCCCTTCCCTGGGACCCTGAATCTCTCTATCATTGGACAGTAGTAAAGGTACTGCTATACATTGAGCTCAATTTTTTCCATCCAAAATGCATTCTTTTGAAACAGAATTAGATCATCAATTGGTTAAGGTTGCTTACCAAAATACATTGTTTTCTTTCTTCAGTTGATTCTGTCCATGCCATGTATGCATTATGCTTTTAGGTTAGGTGTTGGCTGTTCAACATTGTAAAGGTACCCTTGGTTTGTATCCATCTAACAGTTACTGCGAACTGCAGGATATGGGGAAGGTACCCTTGGTTTACATATTTGGGGCTATTCTTCCAGCTCTGATGATAGCAGGCTTGTACTTTTTCGATCACAGCGTAGCTTCACAGATGGCACAGCAGAAAGAATTTAACCTCCAAAAACCATCTGCCTACCACTATGATATTTTGCTGCTTGGAATAATGGTATGTTATTTTGTCTGTAACATCCTCCTTCATGCTTTTGGGTCTATTTGAATAAGCTTCTCCAGCTAAGAGAGAAAAATAGGAAGAATAAAATAAATATTTTTTCATAAGCTAAAATTAACTTATATATAAGTTAATTTATATAAACTCTTCTCGGTTAACTTCTCTAAAATCTTATTATTAATTCATGCATAAGAAGTTTATTTTGATTTTTTTCTCTTAAAAGTGCTACCGGAGAAGTTTATTCAAATCAAACCCTTTATGTCATTCCATGTTGGTTAAGTTGCCTGACATATCTATATGATCCTTCCCTTAGACTCTAATTTGCGGGATCCTTGGCCTTCCTCCTTCAAATGGAGTCCTTCCACAGTCCCCCATGCATACAAAGAGTTTAGCAGTTCTTAGGAAGCGGGTAAGTATCATCTATTGGTCAGACTCGTGATTCTCATTTCTTAAATTTCAATTTAATTTAGATTCTTGTTTTTCATTATCAATTTGCAGTTGATCCGAAAGAAGGTGGTGAAGAGTGCCAAGGAATGTATTAAGCAACAAAGGACCAACTCTGAATTATATGGAAAGATGGAAGAAGTGATTGTAGAAATGGATACAGACCCTACTGTAAGTATTGTTGTTGATTTGATAGGTGTGTTTTATTGTTTTTGTGTTTGAAGGCACGTCCAAGACTAATACAATGTTTGTTTTGACATTGATGCAGGATAAAGAATTGGAGACTTTGAAGGAAGCTGTAATGAAATCCGATAAGCGGGATGGTACAGAGGAAAAATTTGATCCTGAGAAACACATAGATGCATATCTACCAGTCCGGGTTAATGAGCAAAGAATGACCAACTTATTGCAATCTCTTCTGGTTGGTGTATCAATCTTAGCCATGTCTGTTATCAAAAGGATACCAACCTCAGTTCTTTGGGGATATTTTGCTTACATGGCAATTGATAGTCTCCCAGGGAATCAGTTCTGGGAAAGGATATTGCTCCTCTTCATCACCCCAAGCCGGCGTTTCAAGTAAGTATAACCTAACCTTACGTAAATTTTTCTCTAAGCATGATGGTTTTGTAATTGATACGTTAATCCTGGCTTTCAAAGTTTTCTTTCCTTTGTGATGAGAATACTTGTTTCCCAACAAGCAAAACCAATAATATAGCACCAGGGTGTGCATTTAAATTTACATTTTTACTAGATTTCCTCTGGTGGAAGATACCTGTGGTCCTTACTAAAAAAAAATTACATCTTCACTAGGCATTTTCAAATCCTGTAAGAAGCTAATAATGTATTTTGTCATGTTTCTTGTCTATTTTGGACAGAATTTTGGAAGGTTCTCATGCCTCTTTTGTGGAGACAGTACCATTCAAGACCATAGCTTCATTTACTGCCTTACAGATGGTATATTTTCTGGTATGTTTTGGGGTGACATGGGTACCAATAGGTGGAATATTGTTCCCGGTACCATTCTTCCTTCTCGTACCTATAAGAGAACACTTGCTTCCAAAGCTGTTCAAGCCTAGCCATCTTCAAGAACTAGATGCTTCTGAGTATGAGGAAATTGTTGGTGCTCCACATGGTTCAAGGATGGTACGATTTATCCCTCATTTCTTGTTATGACAGACCGTGTGTTTTGTACATTTGTTTGTTTTGTATATTCCAAGTTTTTCACCTTAGGAACTGAAAATGTTTAATCAGGAAAAGGAGCAAAATGGTTCTGATTCCGATGAAAGCTCGGAAGACTTCTATGATGCAGAGATATTGGATGAGATGACAACTAATAGGGGAGAGCTGAAACTTAGATCTGTAAGCAGCTTCAATGATAGAAACCACAGCTTCAACGAAGACAGACACAATCAGGTAACTGGCTTATATATAGAATCCTTTAAGGTTTAAACTTACAATAATGTCTAGTATTTAGTATTTACTATGTTTGTGTGATGGACTTGGACAGGTTTATCCTGGAGGTGGTGTTTGAGTGTCGTGAAATCTCAATGCACCCACCATTTTTTTAGGATGCAGAAAAGGGTTTGATATGATAGTATGTTCCTATGGAAAGGAGTGCTCATAATTGTTGTGGAACAAGAAAGGATTCAATTATTTGGAGATGATCTTCAGTTATTTGGAGATGATCTTCTGTGGAACAAGAAAGGATTCAACCGGTGGAAGAGATGAAATGCAAAAGGAGAGAGATGTGGACAAAAAATGCATTTGAACTTTGAAATGGGATTTCAATATTGGCAGTAAAACACTGAGAAGTTGAGATAAGGGTCAATTCTTTCCTTAGTTGACTACAGAGTTCACAAAAAAGGAGTAGGGTTGGGGTGGAGGGAAAAGACAGATATGTTATGAGGGGGTAAAAAAGAAAGGAGAACATTCTTTTTAGTTGAAATATAGAAAAATGTCGGTAGAACATTCTTTAATTTTTTGTTTACACATTCTTTTGATTAGATACAGTAGAGTTAGCAAGGATATTTTCTTAGAGCATTCAAGGACACTGCAATAGAATAGAATTTGATTGATGTTTTTCAATACAAATAAATTGTTGAGCATTTTGTGTTCATCATAAATTTTATATCAAATGTAAGTAAGAATTTAAATTCTCATGAATCTCATCTAATTTTATGTTTGTATTTATTATTTCTTTGGGTGACAAGCAGGGGTAAGGCCCTCATAAAAATTAAACGAGTAATAACCTAAAATAGGGAGATACAAAACTAGGAAGAAAGAGAGAGAGCTGAAGAATCAAAATTCTATAAGATCAAACTGACGTAGTCCTCAAGTAGATTATAAGCAAATTAAGCTATTTAGTTGATATCTATACTATTAAGAGTTCGTGATTCTTCATATAAAAACATTCTTTAAAAAGCGAAATTGAGATTTTCTGACTGTCATATTAAATTTTTTTTACACTTTCTGATTTTGTAAGTTCGGTTAAAAACCTTACTCGTATACATCAGTGGTGATTGTGGTGATTATCTAAAGAGTGACTTTGTGGCTTGTGAACTTAAGTAACTTTAGTTAGAATTTGTATTTGAATTTAACTCAACTCTATAAATTGACTTGTATTATTATGGTTATTTTATGGTTTGTTTAAAGGAATGATTGTTGGCATATAAATAAAGTTACACATCATTAAAGTTTATAAAACACATACATACTTTATTGATTGAAAGACTTTTTGAATGATGGTCAAAAATAAAACTATGAAGGTGAAAATTTAAAAGAGGACAATATATACACTAATGTAGAGTGTGTGCACAAATCCTCCAAATAACTCAACAAAAATAACTAGATATAATCTTCTTCTTAATAAAAATATGTCTCCATCAAACAAATCACAAATATTATAACATAATCCTTCAAGCTTGTTCCAACACTTTAATAGTGTATAAAAATTAATCTATAATTCAACTTAGTGATAAAGAATTGAAATAATTATATAAGAACTTAAGTTTGATTTTCATTTTTGTCGTGATTTGTGTGTATGTTCTATTTAGTTGTGCAACTTTTTCTTTTTCTTTTTTATTTGTTATGTTTTTTAATATAGTTTGAGAACTTCATTGATGTTATAAAAAGTGTGTGAGGGAGATAAAAATTAGGTTGTAAATGAAAGAAAACCAAAATAAAAAGATAGAGACAACTCAATAAAAACTCCAAATATAATACAAATTTAGCTTAAATATATTTTTAGTCTTTTAAATTTAAGATAAATTTATTTTTAATTTCTAAATTTTAAAATTGGGCCTTAACCCTCACAGTTTTGCTCTTGGGTTATCACTCAAAAGGCCTCTCAATTAATGAAGTATGTTTGTATTATATAAGTTATTTTTTGTCTTATTTTATCGATGTGGGACTTGTTTGTATCCCAACATCTGTTAATGAAAATATTATATTAAATCTAGTTAATACTGTATAACTATTTCAATCTGTTACTTTTAAATATGTTATCAGTAACCTAAATGACTAAAATAAGATTTTTTTTAAAAAATTATAGAGATTAAAAATGATAATTTTAAATTTAAGGAACCAAAAATAAATGTATCATAAATTTGAGAGACTAAAATATATTTAAACTTTTTTTTAATAGTGTTTCTTTATCAGCATCTCACAAAACTACCATCTATGAGCTGGAAAAAGAAAATCTTAAAACTGGATAAAATGTAGAAATCTCCAAAAGAGTGATAAGAGATTTTATGAAGTTAAATTTAAAATTTATGATTATTTTTCAACAATATTTTCTCTTTTAAGTTGATTTACTACATAATATTAGTTATTTTGTTGTATGCAAATAAAATTAAATATCTTAAAAATGTTTTTCAGCAAGTTTATTTAAACAAACTTTCATTTTGATTATAGTCAATTATAACAATAATAGATTGATTATTCATATAATCAAATCATTGAAATAATTTAATTTTGACAATTTTCTCAAACACATTCTAAATAGAAAATGATTTTACCGAATTTGTTATTTTAGAAAATAAGATGATCAGTTTCTTCAACTTTAAACTAAAAATCACGGAGAACAATTCTTACGACAAAATATTTTTAATAATAAAACAAATTTGTTTTTAAATTAACATATTAAAGTACAAAAATTGTTATTATTCTTGTATTTCCACTCTCTGCGATAAACTAATCTAAAATCAGCTATAATTCTGTCATCAACAACTAAGAGAAAACTAAGGAGAAAAAAAGTTAGTGGGAAGATACTATTGCACAACAATGGATACCCATGACAACAAAAGGGTTTAGGAATCAATTATTGTTTCCCCGACAATAATAAGATGATCACCATCCTTATAAGATTTAAATCGTCAACTTCAGCTCTATCTGCGGTCAAAATTTCTGGCACCAATATTTAGCAACTCTTCAAGAGACTTGGGCAACAAAATAAGCTTTCCAATATGTGTTCCTCTTGATTATTGAAGTATGTTTGTATCCTATAAATTATTATTTTTTGTCTTATTTTATCGATGTGAGATTTGTTTGTATCCCAAAAGTATGTAGGTGTATTCTAATTGAATTCTCTATATAATATGCAAAAAAAAAGTAACACCAGCTTAGTGTTTTTGGGACATCAAAAAATAAGCTGTTAAAGTTAAAATCACCAAGAATAATTCTAAATCCTCCTACTAATTTTATTGAATGTGCTTTTATATTTCCAAAACATTAGATGCATTTTTTTTATAAAACACTACTAAGTCACCAATTATTCCATGTTTTACTTACCACGATTGGCTTTTGAGATCATTCCAAAACTGGAATTATGATAACAGCTTGGAAGATCTCCCATTATCAAGCCAAATCGATTCTTGAGTAGATGGCAGTGACATGCTTTCTTGGGAAATAGCAGACATGCTGGGATCACTTTGAAAGCTCCTAATGCCGTCACTCTTTGATATTCTGTTCTCTCTAATGTTGTGGAATATATTTTTAATTTCCTCATGCTCATGTTTTTCTACAAAATCCCTGGGAGTGCACCCATCAGCATCTTGCTTGTCAATGTCTACTCCTTGGTTACAAGGAACCTAATCAGCTCAGCGTTTCCATAAAGTGCTTCCATATGCAGAGCAGTGGTTCCATTCTTTTGGGGATGTATCACATCCACACCCTGAAATAATTCCTTGAGCAATTCTATGTCATTTTGCTCAACAGCAGTGCACGCTAGATTGCCTGCATCAGCAGAAGATATGTCTGCACCGTTGTTTATTTGAAGTTTGATGACAGATTCATGTCTCCCCTTAATTGCTTCTCATAGTGGTACATTTCCTTCCTTATTTGAATAAATAAAAGCAATCAGAGTCTAGAGATATCACCAGTACTAGCCCATACTCCTCCTTTATGAAAAAGTTGTTCGTAACTACTTTTGAGAGGGAGTGTTTGATAGAAAAGAATAATTAAGTGCTTAAACAAGACTGAAAAGTACCTTTGCTATTGGGATCAACACCATGTTCTAGAAGCAAAGTGACACAATGTTTATTGCCTCTGGAAGCTGCAATATACTGTTACATGAGAAAATGAATCTGTAAGCGTCTAGTATTGTGTCTATACATGTATACTTATACATGGAAGTGTATGTGTTTATGCCAGCAGAGAAAATTTACAAACTAGTGCTGTCTGTCTGTCCTTATTCTCTTCATTTGGATCAGAACCTTTCTCAAGCAAACGACGTAATAATAGATCATCATTTCTGCCAGTTGCAAAGCATGTGGTAATGGGCATATCCATTCTGCCCTGAGCAATCATGGCCTCCGTTTCTGCCAAAATAACATCCATCCCTGAATACCTCGATTCTTTCAGATGCTGTGCAATAAAATATATATCACGTGTCACAAAGTGCGAGACATTAAGAAGATGTTATACGGATGAAACTACAAATTGAAAAGATGTGTGTGCAAAACATTAAGTGAATGAATCTGAAACGTAACTAGATAGGCATTATAATCATTCCTAGAAGAAAACACAAATCATCATCAAGCATGTACTTTATATACCTGGAGCAAAATTGCTCATGATTATTGTCCCATCTCCAAGTGTTGAATGAACAATATTTAGAAATGTAGTACGGTTCAAGCTTAGAATTTGGATCAATTGTTTGGTTCGAATTGTAAACACCTGTGGCCTGTAACATAAAACTCCTATTTCTCCAACTAGGTCTTCTAACTCTACCTCACCAGCGACCTGCAATTATTTCAGACAATATGTTGTGCACCAAGGAGGTTACCACACATATACACATGTCTCCACATTAATGAGATATTGTCCATTTTGGGCCCAAGCCCTCATGGATTTGCTTTTGGACATCACCCAAAAGGCCTCTCAACCAATGAAGACAATTGTGTGTATATAAACTCATGTCCATCTTACCACACATATACACATGTCTCCACATTAATGAGATATTGTCCATTTTGGGCCCAAGCCCTCATGGATTTGCTTTTGGACATCACCCTAAAGGCCTCTCAACCAATAGAGACAACTGTGTGTATATAAACTCATGTCCATCCTTGACCTACCATTAGGAAGACTTTCGACACAAGAGATTCCAAACTTAGATCCACCTGCCAATGGTGAGATATATTCCGCTTCGGGCCCAAACCCTCACGGATTTGCTTTTGGACATTACCCAAAAGGCCTCTCAACCAATGGAGACAACTGTGTATACATAAAATCATGTCCACCCTCGACCTACCGTTAGGAAGATTTTTGATACAAGGGATCCCAAACTTGGATTCACCTGCCAATGGTGAGATATTGTTTGCTTTGGGGCCAAGCCTTCACGAATTTGCTTTTGGACATCATCTAAAAGGCCTCTCAATCAATGAAGACAATTCTGTATATATAAATTCATGTCCATCCACCGAGGGGGTTACCACACATGTACACATGTTTCCACATTGGTGAGATATTGTCCGCTTTTGGCTCAAACCTTCATGGATTTGCTTTTGAACATCACCCAAAAGGCCTCTCAACCAATGGACACAACTGTGTGCATATAAACTCATGTTCATCCTCAACTTACCGTTATGAAGACTTTCGACATAAGGATCGCAAACTTGGATCCACTTACCAATGGTGAGATATTGTCCACTCTAGGCCT